AAATCTACTCAACGTAACTATATAACGATGATGTAATCAATAGTTCAATATCAGAATGTATTGTAAAAAAAACCAATACGTTTAACGAGCCTTCGCATGAATGAACGATGAATTTCTTAAGAATCTATTCATCTGTTCATGAATTTAGTTTAAAACTATTCCTCCATTAAATGTAGTAAAATTCTAAAATCTGACGCAACCGCGGTACAAAGTTAAGTAACTGTTATCAGATGTGTAATAATTTATCTTAACAACGATTGTCTTATTTAGTCAGTATCATAGAGTGTAAACCCCACGTGAGCCCTGCAAAGTCGCGCGGAGGATAATATTTCATCTCTTGATGTTATACCATCCCGACCTCTATAAATATTACTTATTCTATTGCCAATTTATGATTTCCTTAATAAAACATCATTGCAAGCGTTGAACATTCATTATATCGGATATCTTAAAATGTATCTATACATATAATGAAATTCTAACTGAGTCAAATCGGTACATTGAATATTTCTTGAAATATCTTATTGAATTAGTCATTATTATCGATACAGAGGCCGAATCTATAGTTTTAAAAAATATACCTATATATCTGTCTGGGAATGCATCACGAAAAAAACCACAAATTTTGATGAAATTTGGTATGATTATAGATAGTTATCCAGGTCAACATTTAAGATACTTTTTACTGCGAGAAAATATTTCATCTCTGAGAAAGCTATACTAACCGTTAACACGTAGGGACGAACCCGAGCACAGCGAGGGTGAGTCTAGTCCGTATTTAATATTATAAATGTGAAAGTTTGTGAGTATGTATGGATGTTTGTTACTCTTTCACTCCAGAACGGGTAAACGGATCTGGATGAAATTTGGCACAGAGATAGATTTTAGTCTGGAATAACACATAGGCTACTTTTTATCCCGAAAAAATATACAGTTCCCGAGGGATAGATTTGTTTTTGTTTTTCTAGAGGCGAACCCGAGCGAAGCGAAGGTGAGCCGCTAGTAATCCATAAAATGAAATAATATGTTTTTTTAACTCTACAATAATTGTCTTTAAGATTAAATTTAATTATACTAATGAGTATAGCATTAAAAGTAACTAAGCTAATAAAATAAATAAATATCCCAAACATGTAAAAATCACCGTGATTGCAATTACCATAATTTACGATCAGTTTTTAGAATGTGTGTGCGTGTATTTACAATAAGATTATATTAAATATAAATAAATATAAAATAAATATGATGGGACATAAACACACCAACATCTAGCTCCATGGTTGTATTATGGATACCAGATAGTTGATACACTACACATATATAACTTAAATACATACATATTATAAATTTAAACATCCATGACTGGACAATAAACATTCGTGCTCATCACACAAATGAATGCCCCAAGCGAGACTCGAACCCGCGACCACTGGCATAGCAAATAGGGGACACTACAACCTGTCCCAAACGTGTCGTCTTACAAATGAAATCTAATAGACCACACCTACCAGCGAGCGCAATGGTCACGACAAGCTGTAGATACGTATTGATTCAACAATATATCTTATTTTATCGGTCTTGTAACTTTTATGATTCGCCTATAAAGTACAAGCCAACTGCCAAGGTATCAAACCACAATGATATTCAATAGGTCACATTGTTGTATGTAGAGCAACAAAGTACTTCACACAATATATTATGTATGTATTGTTTGGACTTTCCTGTATCATATTTATATTATTTATCTACTTATTAATAACTATATATAACAAAACTAATTACATATCGTAATTAGTAATGTAAAAGAATGAAGCAATGTGGACCATATGATAGATGTAAGATTATAATAATTCTGCAAAGACAGCTATATATGTACACACTCGTATACTAAACACTAATATATTTTAATTTTGTGATATCAATAATTACACGCAAAATAGTACTTCGACGTACGGACGTCGAGTTGCGGAAACAAGCCTGAATTTACCATATCTACCATTTACCATATCAATAATAAGTTCTTAATACATGTTAAACGCCATATACCGTGTACTAATATTATTAAAAGTTCCTCTACGTTCATGTCATTACGAAAGTGGAGAATTTTGTGTATAAAATAAAGTATTATTGGTTCATATATTTGCTAACGACTTATGCTCGCTCTGCACGGGTGCGTACTGAGGTGGCTGTTTGCTATATTTTTTTTTGCTTTTGCTTTACTTTAAACCATTTAGAACGCCGATTTAAAGTTACTCAACGACTAGTTTTTTCCGATTTCAACTAAAGTTATTACAAGTGCGCCAGTACACACATTTTTATCGGTATAATAAAAAGCTTATATATAGTAACTTCTTATTCTTGCAAGAATTTTTACAATCGGATCAGTAATTTGATGATGAAATTCGACTGTTTTTTTACATTATATTGTTATATCTTCATTCAATTTCTTTGCCCAATATTTTTCCAGCTTGTCTTGACTTTGTCTGTTACTTGATACTAATTAATTTTAGTATAAACTAATTGATAACCTTAAATCATTTGTCATTTCGTTAAATCTAACAAAGCGAATATTTTAAATCAATTTAAAATTTGCCAAGGACTGTATTACGGGGATGGTCAAAGGTTACCCTTTATTCCCGCCACCGCTTTTTCACCATATTATCTGCATACTGTAGATAATAGGGCGTAAAAATCTAGTGTTTGATATACAAAAAATGTACGTTTGACTGTTTGAAGCAATTTCCGCAACTCATTCTGCAAACATCATCTGGCGCGAACACGTCTGCAGCATCAGTAACCTCACTCACAGTTGACATTTCATTATGGCATTAGAAGGCACGAGAGCATCGACCCTCACCACACGCTCGCCGCACGCTTGTAAACTGATTTATGTCAACTTATAGCGATTGCCATATTATTTAGGAAATTTGTGTTTTACATACTAGCTGATGTGTGTGGTATTTGTGTGACCTATTTACCTTCTAGTCACGAGTATTTCTAATGTCTATGTTTCCCTGAAATTAATAAGTACCAATAGTCCATTTCCACGTATCTGGTGGTTTTTATACAACCATCGATGGCATCGACGAGGCTTCCATTGGGTACAATAATGGAGCAAAGTACCGTACAGTACAGTGTATTGTTTTCAGTAATTCTTCTTTCTTTCTTTTTTTCTTTCTTTCTTTTTTTCTTTCTTTCTTTTTTTCTTTCTTTCTTTCTTTCGTGAGTGCATTGGCAAATTGAACGTCCATTGTAAAAGAAATTCACTCGACTCAAATGTCAGTGGAAAAAAATGCCTCGTTAGTTTATTGGCTAGCATATACGACTGCAGCTTTCGGAGGTCCTTGGTCAGAAATCTAAGTCAGACCATGTACATATAGTTGTTGAGTTTTCTGCACGCCTTTATCTCTCACTAAGTCGAAGTATCATCTCTTCAGACATATCGAATGAAATGAGAGAGAGAGTGTAATTATTCTTTTTATCTATACACTTGTACTCTATAAAATCTCCTGCACACACATATATAGTCTTAATAAGATTGACCACTGTCGCCGAAATCGGTCCTGTAGTATTTTTCTGGTTTGATCCCTAAACACCGCAATCCACAAATAGTCTAAGTAAAGAATTTTGGCGTGAAAAATAGCTCAATCAGACCTAATAACGACTACCCACGAAATGTTCGCATAGTGTAAAATTGCTTGACAAATCTACGAGTACATGATAAGTCACGATACTCGTAAAAAATACGAACTACGTGCTTGAGCAGCTCTATTTCTTATTAAGAAATTAAAAAAAAATCCGAACTATATCCAAGATTTGTTTCAAAATCAAATTTATACATAATATTGCTATTGGTACACTTTTGTTCTGTTTATTAAATTGCTTAGAATCAGAGAATAAAATTATAATAAAAAACTTTCTTTTTGATTCAAATAAACAGTTTTAAATAAGATGCTATGTGTAAAGAGTCACCCGTAAGTACCTTCCGAAGTTTTTGAACACCCGACACGTTTTTCTTAAAAGCTTTTCCAATGCTGATAACATATCCTCGATTTTTATATTTTGAAAGAGAACAACTACTAGTTTTACTTGAACAAAGATAGATTAATTTCAATAAGACTTAAACTACGAGAGCATTTAGATGTTTTAAATTGGTTTTAAAAAGGTAGGTAAATTGGGCAATCATGACCAAATATTGCTTATATTTATAAATTTTAGTTGCAAATTTCAGCTCAAGTAGCTTTGGCAATCTTCTTACACACTGTAAGGAATCTGTTATCGAAACGTTAAGTACGTTTAAGTAATGTGAAGTCGCGATTATGTCGAGATAGTTTCAAAAGAAATTAATACGCGTGACGAGATACGAACACAAGTATTTTTTTGAATAAAATCATTATTTTAATTCATAAAGCATATTTTTATGAATTAAATTAATGAAGGTTTTTCATTTGTGTTAAGAAACATTTTATTTAAAGCATAAGTTGTAGTAGAAGTGCAGCCGAGGCAAGGCCCGCAGGTGGAGGCGCGGAACAAAGAATCTCAATTCTTTAGCACTTTAGTTACCAGCGTTATAAAATTTTCTGCTTATGAGAATAATATAGAATCAAAAAATATAAAACATTACTGTCTGTATTTTTCAATCGATTGAACCAAAATATTTAAAATTTCATTATCTCCAAACGCTTGCCCGATTTTAGGTCCTGAAAATGTGCATAGATATTGTTAACTGTAACGACACGCCAGCGTGTCCACAGTCGTGGAGGGAATATATAACATATTTTTTTTAAATATCTTGTTCGGGAGCGAAATTTTTGTATCTCTCTGTGTCACGGAAACAAGCTCAATAGTTTCCAATTATATGTGTCTATTATTTTATTTCAAAATATTGTTAAATTTCGTTTGCATCAGTTGAGAAATAATGCAACCTACGCTCGTTCTTCGTGTCCGTTTGTGAGGCATAGTATGTAGCAGCGTGCGAGAGAAGCCACTGACAAGAGCTAGCACACGTACAGTACAGTATCTGGATGACAGCAGGCAATCCCAAGCAGGCGCTGCGCTCGATCATTAATCATGCATTGTGTCGCGTTGCGGCTTATGAGCACTAAATCCCGGTCTGCACCTAATCGACTGCGAACGTCCTCCCGTACTGTCTCGCTCGTCTCCGCGACGAGCTCCATGGAAACACCGAATAACTTCTATTTACGAGTTTCATGAAATAATAAATGTTAACGAAGTATTAAATAACATGGGATAAACAGTTAACTAATGTATCTATTAAAAAAATATTTATACACACTTAGCTAACAGAAGTTAACTAAACAGTAATTTAATTTTGGAGCGTGGGATATGAAAATATTTATATAGAAGTACAAACATTTAATGTAAAAGAAATCAAAACTTACGAACTATTTTACGTACTCTTGTGAGAGTTATGTAAGAAAATCAAAACTATAAACTTCAACAATGCTTTAAAAGTTGAAAGCAAATAAAGTATGTCACATTTCTCAAAGACGATGAGATAAAATAGGTCGAAATTACTTCGTATCTTTTATATTAGATATTTTTCTAAAAAAATTATAAAATATTATAAAACTTAGTACTAACTAATATAATAAGTATTACAAATTAGGTGAGCTTAATTAGAAAAAAATCCTTGTCACAAAACTTACAGCCCCTAAGCCGTCGAGGGCGCCGGGCGGTCGGCGCCGGGCGCGCGGCAGTCGACTGCGCCCGCCCGTCGCGACCGAGCGCCCGAGCCCGATCGAGCCTTTCATTTCGCGCCAAAACTTTACCATGTACGTAAAGTAAACGAAGAATCTTAAACGAGCTAAAAATATTGTATCATAGTGATTTGTGGGCGAAGCGAAAATGTTGTTTTAGTGTTCAAAATATAAACTGATTTTAAATATAAATACTAACAATTGTATTTCATAATTCGCGTGCTACTAAATGAAACTAATAGTACTAATATGAATTTACATCAAATAGACACTTAAATGTGAATAGAGAACAATGCTAGGGTAACTGATCATGGTGCGCGAGGCCGCGCTCGCCGTGCTGCTGTTGGCCACAGCCGCCTCCCGCCACTACCAGCCCCGGCAGGTGATGTTGGCGGCCGACCACACTAACATGTCCTTGATCATGTCTAACATTGCCTACTTGGATGCCGAAGAATATTACGCGATAGCGGATAAAACTCATCGCTATAAACGTGAATCACATTCGTTGATCGGCACATTTGATATATCAAAGATATTCAAGAAGAGGAATCGCCCCAAACAAGTACCAGTGCAAGCGAGTGCTTCCTCCTTGCACTCACATGACGCTTCAACTGTTCACGAAGAAGTAGTACTGGCGGCCCTGAAGGATACTTCAAATAAATCACTCAATGAATCTTTTACAACTGAAATAATTACTACAACTAATATGAATGTTAATCTGGAAAACGCTCTTCAAAAATCACAACCTAATATTCTTTTCAGTGGAAGCATCAGTGAAGCTATTAACACACAAGATCAAATCAACACCTCGAAGAATAAACTTAGAACTAGAAATAAAGCTACAAGGAAGTCTAAAAGCGTATCGAGCCATAAGCCGCAAACAAGCGCAGCAAAGCGAAACGGAAGGGAAGACATCAGTCAACCACTAGTTGGAAATAAGAAGAAAGCTGAGAACGAGAGCGTGTGGCCAGTCAAGCACGCTGCAGTACTCGAGGGAGACATCATTCTCGGGGGACTTATGATGGTAAGTGGTTTATGAAGCGTCAACGCATGCCGTTGCCATTCGCTACGCTTCGCATACAAGATAAGATAAATATATAACATTTTAAACTTATATCATTTATATTAAATCGTCAATCACTCTGTAAAAACACGACGAGGTGAAACGAGGTGAATTTATTAAATAAAAATTGATTTTATTTATTTACTAGCGACTGGAATCGCCTCAAACTCGAATATTTTAGGAAGCAGCTACACTATATGCCATTTCCCGGGAATCCATTGTCTCAAAAATTACTTCTTATGTTGCCTTGATTATTTATAATTATAATAATTAATATAAGCCTTTGGTGGCCTGTACCACTGCGGGGCAAAAGATTCCTACTCTTCTTCCACTGCTTCCTATGTTTCGCCACAATAGACCAGTCTCTCTGGAAGGAGTCCAACTCATCCCGTTGGTTATGTAGCCTGATGTATTGGGAGATCTAAAAAGTTGTTTGTTTGGCCCAAAGATCATCTGGCATCCTGTCTAAATTAAACAATGGAATAAGATATTTTAAATAATACTATCTTTTCGGATTATTTCGCGGATTTATTTTAATTTTTGGTTCCCGATGTTTCGAATTGTTTACAATAATCAAAAGAGAGAAAAGAGAAGAGAAGGTTTTAAATGTCTCAAAGGTGTTATATACTTATTACAGACAGTGAATAGGCCTACCAACAATTTTAAAAAATGGCACCAATGTACGTTACAATATTTGTTGATTTTAATTCTAAGTATTTTTTAATAAGCATTATGATTACGTAAATACAGCAATATTATTTATTTAATTTTAGCTGTTATTGTTAATTAATTAATAATATTATTTAGTGTTGCTATTACTACAATATGTATAACCGCAAAGAAAATTAAAAATTAAAAATGATGGTGGAGCACGTACAAAAAGGTTAAAACGGATCCAACTACCACCGCTTGAAATAACACTAAAGAGCTAATTAAGAAACATTATGGCAAAATACAATAATAAAAATCTTAGTCCATCATGTGCAAAACCGCCTAAGTTGTATGGACTAACCTTAGTCTCTCCCGTGACCATGATTGCTGTAAAGCATTCGAAATGTCGGGAACCAAAAATTAAAATAAATCCACGAAATAATTCGAAAAGATAGTTTTATTTTAAATGTCAAATATTCGCGTAAATCTAAGAAGGAATAGGAAATATTATTTTAATAAAGTTGTTTACGATGGTTGGTTAGTAGTGAAATATTTTTAATCTTTTTAAGAAATAAAGTATAGCTTTGTGAATATATATCCATATTTTAATATTATAAATGTGAAAGTGTGTTTGTTTGTTTGTTTGTTTGTTTGTTTGTTTGTTTGTTTGTTTGTCTGTCTTTCTTTCACCTCGAAACAGCTTAGCGGATTGGCGTGATTTTTTGTGTGGAGATAGCTGTTGGAGGGCTGGAGAGTAACATAGGCTACTTTTTACCGCAGGTGATTGTCTCTTTCCCACTTAAAACACGTTATAACACAATCCAAAAAAATATTTATGATCAGAATTCCTTGTAAATGCTCTTCAATACAATTAATTAAATATATGTTTAGCATTTTTCGTGATTCTTCCCATAAGAGGGTAAAATAGCGAATGAAAGTTTGTATGAAACCTACCATTTTAGAGTTTTTTTTGTAGCTTTAGCGCGAGCGAAGCCGCGGGTTCCGCTAGTATATATATAAATAGGCAAATACAAAACAGTTCAGTAGATAAATTTTTCTACTCTGTTCGTCAACCATTGTTTTTTGTTTAATGGGTGATTTTGGTTTGTGGATTAAGTTAAAGGTGTAAAGTCCATGTCAAAAACTAATCCTCCTACTTCTTTCCTCTATCAGATGTTGTATTCTGTACTCTGCTACTGCATGTGCAGCAAAGTATATCTCTATCTAGGTATTTATCTAGATTATCTCAGACGTTCAGGCTTTATTGCGACGTTTTCCGTCACAATATTAGTATATTATGGTGATCATGTTGAGATATTCCCAAAACGTGTGAATACATATACGAGTATTATCACTGCTGTAATGACTAGTAAAATTATATTATTGATATTTTAATATTCATAATTTTATATTATTATATCAGATATTTTTGATAACAACTAATTTAAAGAATACAAAAATGCACCGACAACTAAAATTCTCATGGAATGTCAAAACAAAAACAAAAACAAATGTATCCCTCGAGAACCGTATATTTTTCCGGAATAAAAATAGCCTATGTGTTATTTCAGACTAAAATCTATCTCTGTGCTAAATTTCATACAGATCTGTCCAGCCGTTCTGGCGTGAAAGAGTAACAAAAATCCATACTCATTACTCACAGACTTTCACATTTATAATATTAGTTAGATTCATAGTAAGTTTATTAGGTTTATTTACAAAATACAATCACTCACAATTGTATACACTAATATTAAAAGCAGAACTAAGAACTAGGATAAATGAAGTGATCACTGAGTACTTACAAATAAACACAGCATGTACAGCCGAATTTTATTTTATTATTACCATTATAAATTATAATTAGTGTGTTACTCTAATATAACTGTACAATCTCACCCACGTGTCCTCGGGCGCAGGTGCACGGGCGCGCGGGCGGCGAGGGTGGCGAGGGCGGCGCGGGGGGCGGGGCGCGCTGCGGGCCGCTGATGGCGCAGGGCGGCGTGCAGGCGCTGGAGGCGATGCTGTTTGCGCTGGACGAGGCCTCGCGCGCGCGCCTGCTGCCGCCCGGCCTCGCTCTGGGCGCGCTCGTGCTCGACGACTGCGACAGTGACACGCGAGGACTGGAGATGGCTCTTGATTTCATTAAAGGTATTTCACTTGGTCAAAGTATTCTGAACTCAAGAGTTTCGCTATCACTACGCATTATAAATTCAAAACAAAGGTCTCTAAACTTTTTTTGTTTGTACGGGCTACAGTTTCGTATGATCTTCACAAAATATTTGAAAAAGAGAATTTCTAAGGCTATTATTATTATACACTAATATTAGCATTGCACGCGGCTCCACCCGCGTTCCGATGACCAAAAACCAAATTCTTAGGTTTTACATATCAATAAACTCTTACAATGCAGTTTTTGTATTTTTTTCTTAGAAATGAGACATTTTCCCGCGGTAAAAAGTATTCCACATGTTGACCCGGATAACCAGCTATCACCATATATAATAGTTATAATAATTTTATTATATGTATTATCTATTCTAATATATTATTATAAAGAGGTAAAGTTTGTGAGATTGTGAGTTTGTGACGTTGCAGGGGGTAATCTGTGGATCTACTGAATCGATTTAGATGAAATTTGGTAAGAAGATAGTTTGAGACCCTGAGAATGACATAGGATACTTTTTATCCTGGAAATCATTGCTTAAGGGGGTAAAAATAGGGATGAAAGTTTGTATTGGGAAGCAAGCTAGGGACGAACCCGAGCGAAGCGAGGATGAGTCGCTAGTAGATTCTAAAGAGGTAAAGTTTGTGAGTTTGTGAGGTTGTAGGGGGTAATCTCTTCTAGATCTACTAAACCGATTTAGATGAAATTTGGTAAGAAAATAGTTTGTGATCCTGGGAAGGTCATAGGATACTTTTTATCCCGGAAATCATCCCTTAAGGGGGTGAAAATGGGGATAAACGTTTGTATGGGTATCAACCTAGAGACAAACCCGAGCGAAGCGAGAATGAGTCGCTAATTTATGAATATTTCGTGAAAAAAGGTACTAGTATAATGATAATTGTGAATAAAGTCGGAAAAAGTCGTTTCTTCTTAGTTTATTAACTTCCGCAATATTATAAATACGAACAAAATCTAGGGTCCATAGTTTACATTATAAAGTTGTGTGTCTCACTATTTAAAAAGTATTGATTAAATTGAAAAACACATGTTAGTTTCTTGATTTTTATTTTATTTTGTGTAAACTTGCGATATATGCAGCTTAAAGGCAACAAGAATTTCAGTTGAATTAATTTCTACATAATAGCATATTTTTTCGCAATGAGTAATAGAGTTGATTCACACTAGAGTACCTATTATTGTACACAAAGTTGAGTCGACTCTACTATTCATTCTTTAACATAAAGATGCGACATAAAATAATAACCTCTTCTTCTTCTATAACATGTACCTACATAATATTAAGCGTTATATATTATTTAGTATTGTAGATTAGAGTCATATTTATCTGCCAGGATCTATAAGTAACATCGACGACGAGGAGTACGCGTGCAACGCAACAACCGTGCGGAAAGTGATCTCAGGCGTCGTGGGCGCTGCCTCTTCCGTTACTTCAGTTCAAGTTGCTAATTTATTACGTCTCTTTAAGATACCACAGGTTTAAATTTTATTAACATACTTTGAGTTTGATTTTGATACTTTTAAAAATGTGCTTAGATTCAAAACTCCACATTTCAGGTATCATTCTTCTCAACGTCACCAGAGCTATCCAACAAAGCCCGATTTGAATATTTTACTCGTACAATACCTTCAGATCTCCATCAAGTGCGTGCGATGGTTGAAATTGTCATGAGATTCGGTTGGCGATACGTGTCGATAATTTACGAAGAATCCAACTATGGTATTAAGGTGCAAATACATACTATGTTACATTATTGTGTTATTAAAAAAAGATACATACTCGTATTTTAAAAATACCTTCAAACTATCTTTCATAAACAGGCCTTCGAAGAACTAGAAACACTTCTGTTACGTCATGATATTTGCATAGCTGTTAAAGAAAGGCTAGTAAAAGATTCTGGTGCTGCAGATGAACGAGCGTATGATGCAATCGTAGAACGACTTCTTTCACGTCCTCGAGCAAGAGGTAAACGCCAACTAAATTCTAGACTTACCTACATACTTTTTATTTCAATAACATAATATTCGAAATGATGATAAATTTCTGTAGGTGTCATCGTATTTGGATCAGACCAAGAAGTAGCGGGCGTGATGGCGGCGGTGAGGCGTCGAGGCGCAGCACACGCGTTTAGCTGGGTAGGCTCAGATGGATGGAGCGCGCGCGCGCTCGTGGCCGCCGGCAACGAGGCCGTCGTCGAGGGCACGATCAGCGTGCAGCCGCAAGCGAATCCCGTGCAGGGGTTCCGTGACTACTTCCTTGCGCTCACTCCACAGAACAACTTAAGGAATCCTTGGTTTGTCGGTAAACTTCCCGGTTTCAGAATAATGTCGAATCCAATCTCTTTTTGAAATAGTTAATAATATTATTAATTTATATGTGTACGTGCGGGCCGGGGACTCAGAATCACTATTTTATTTTTAGAATTTTGGGAAGAACAGTTTCGATGTCGGTATCCGGACAGCCCGCGATCGAGACACAATGCGGAATACCCGCCATGTACAGGAGACGAGCGTCTCTCTGCGGAAAATACGGAATTTGAAGCCCAGTTACAATTCGTTGCTGATGCTGTTTGGGCATTTGTATATGCTATTCGGTTAGTTAAAAGTCTCCACTGTGTGGATAACTCATTCATATGAAAAGTAGTGGATTAAAATTAATAGCAAAACTATTTTCAGAAACATGCATAAAGTTTTATGCGGAGAAAAGCCGGGTTTATGCGACGCAATGAAACCAGTGAGCGGGACCACGCTTCTGCAGTATCTGCGAGAAGTCCGCTTCATAGGTATCTTATACATAATTTTTATCATGTTCTTAATCTCTTATACAACTATCTTACATATTGCTTAACAACCTCCGTACTAACCTGCAGGTTTAAGCGGTGATGAATTTCATTTCGATGTATATGGTGATGGACCAGCGCGCTATAATATCTTACACTTCAAGCAGGTGACAAGAGGAGTGTACCGTTGGGTCAGAGTGGGACGCTACCTCGATGGACTGTTGCACCTTGACATTGATGGTATATTCTTTTTTTTAATGTAAATCTTATTTTTCACGTCCTCATCTTATTTGTGTTTATTGCCAACATAATTAAAACATATTTGTTTCATTTTAGAAATACAGTTTAAATGGGATGAACCTCGTCATCCTGAATCGGTGTGTAGCGCAGAGTGCGAAATGGGTCAGGCCAAGCAATATGTGGAGGGCGAAAGCTGCTGTTGGCATTGTTTCAATTGTACACAATATGAGGTAGTTGGAATATCAATTCTTTGTCTATTAATTATTTTTTACGTTAACAAGTATATGGAATATTGCAATCATTGAAGGCGCTCTATGTGTATAGATTCGATCCCCAGTATCAGAGACCACGTGCGTGGAGTGCGCACGCGGCACGCTGCCCGACGCGCGCCGCACGCTCTGCGCGCCCATACCGGAGCTCTACCTGCGCCCTTCTTCCCCAGCGGCTATTGGCGCAATGACGTTCTCGGCTCTAGGAATTCTTTTTACTACGTAAGTGCATATACGTACATTTCTACATTTTTAACTTAATAAAATAAGTTAAAACTGAAATATAACTATTACAGGATGGTAGGTGGCGTGTGGGTGGCGCGACGCGGCACGCCGGTGGTGCGCGCGAGCGGGAGGGAGCTGTCCTTCGTCTTGCTCGCGGGTATCCTTATGTGCTATCTAGTCACATTCGCTCTCGTGCTTCGACCGACGGACATTCTTTGCTCACTTCAGAGGTCAGTTAAAAAAATAATATAGTAATTATAGTATACGTTTGTGATTACGGCATTTCATTAATATATATTATATTTCAGATTTGGAACTGGGTTTTGCTTTACAGTTGTATACGCTGCTTTGTTGACTAAAACAAACAGGATAGCACGTATCTTTGACGCTAGTAAACATTCAGCAAAAAGACCTTCGCTCATTTCACCGAAATCCCAATTACTTATTTGTTCAGTTTTAGTGTCGATCCAGGTACATTTTTAAATTTGGAATTATATGTTCATATGTGTGTTATTATTATTAATTCTACCATAATAATATATGATACTATAATATGCTTATTTTAAGGTCGTAATTGTGGTAGTGTGGCAACTAACGTCGCCTGCCAGAGCAATACACCATTATCCGACTCGCGAAGACAATATGTTAGTCTGTGATTCTTACGTAGACGCTTCTTACACTATAGCTTTCTTCTATCCTGTCGTGCTGATTGTGATCTGCACAGTGTACGCTGTGCTAACTAGGAAGATTCCTGAAGCTTTCAATGAAAGCAAACATATTGGTACGTCTAGATCATTTGAGTTAAGCACAGGTGTAGTAGTATTATAGTATTATTGCCTCACTCACAGTGTTGTCCATTCTATCTGCAGGGTTCACTATGTACACTACATGTGTCATCTGGCTTGCTTTTGTCCCATTATATTTTGGCACTGCAAGTCACGTGCCTCTACGTGTGACAAGTATGGCGGTCACTATTTCGCTGAGTGCTAGCGTCACACTGGCTTGCCTCTTCGCACCAAAGGTATAAAAATATTAAGTTATTCGTTAGATAGTCTTTTACATAGTCGGAATTTCGTTGTAAATTATAATTATCTCCTTGTATTTCCTTCACGCTGAAACGGCTGGACGGATTTGAATGAAATTGAATATACAGGTAGACTATGGCTTGCATTAACACAAAGATTACCGGGAAGCACCCGAGCGAAGTGAAAGTAAGTCGCTAGTATTACATATACATAAAAAGCATATTATTATCTCTCTTAGTCATTGACTGTATGTAATGTGTATGGTTGTCCCACTACAGATGTACATAATCCTGGTGCGGCCGGAGCGCAACGTGCGCGGGCAGCTGACGGCGGGGCGCTGGGGGCGCGGCGGGCGCGGCGCGGCGCCGGGCGCCGTGTGCGCCGCGCTGGTGGGCGCCGCGCCGCTGCCGCGCGCCGCCGCCACGCCCTCCACCGACCTCTCCACGCTCGACGCCACAGGTGCTTAGTACCTGGTGCCTACTGACTAGCCGTCAATCAAAAAAAAAATCAAATCAAAAAACTCAATCTCTCATTGAATTTAAGCTACTGTTGAAAGGGATCATTGTTAGACGGATACCGAATAGCCGACTATTTGGCTGGTTGTCCCGTTGTGAGTTACAACAAACTTAATTACAACAAACTAAACTTAGCGCCGCACAGATACTGCGTATATATCGAAAGTATTTGGGCGTGTTCAGGTGTCTTCGTGAGTGTATCCACCCGTGTGAAAGTTTGCCAGACTACATTTCATTTATTTATTTCATAAGCACACTTACAATATACACATATTTAATATTTCAGCAAATTGCTGCCTTTACAACTCAATTTTGTATTATTAGCCTCACAAATATTTTTTCACATATTGGCTCGCGAATATAATGTCTGTACTTCACAAACTTATGTAAGATTACCTACTGTTAACACAGAGCGATCGACTTCCACGGACCGACAAGTTCAAACGGACGAGGCGACCATGCCTGTGGGGGGCCTGGCAGGGGTAGCGACAGGGGGCCCGGCGGGGGGACCGGCGGTAGGAGGCCCGGCGGAGCGCAACGGGCTGTGCCTGGACGCGCGCAAGCTGGCGCAGCTGGCGGCGGGGCTGCCCGCCTTCGAGGACGCGGGCGCGCCGCGACGCCGCGCCGCCTTATAGCGCCCCCCGCGCCTGCCGGTGCTCGTTTGAAGGGACTACCGTACCTGTTGGAGTTGTTAGTTGTAGCATTACACGGATTACATTGTTGGACATAAAATGATATTTGAATATGTAATTTAATAGTTATTTACGATTATGTGTACAGGAAAGAGTAAAATCCAAAGAAGCTGTTAAATTCTTTAGATTACAGATCAAATTATGTGATATTACTATAAGTTATTGTTAGTTATTTCGAAAATAAATATTTTAAACATATTGCTGTTTTGGTTATTCATATACGTTTAACATAATAAATTATAATTAGTCCATAAATCTTTAAGCCATAGAATGTATTATTAAATAAAAGTATTATGTGAACCATAGAATGTAATTAAAACATATATTTAAAAAAAGGTTAAGAAGGGACACTATATTTTTATATAATACTAGTGGCTCACCTTCGCTTCGCTCCGGTTCGTCTGTAGACAAACAAAAACAAATCTATCCCACGGGAATAGTACATTTTTCTGGGATAAAAAGTAGCCTATTTGTTATTGTGATGTATGAACTATATTATTCTAAAGTTTCATTAAAATCCAATCAATAGGTTTTGTGTACTAAGCTGTATATAAGTTACTATAGTTTTTTAACTATTCCACGGGAACTCTAATTTTCCGGAATGAAAAGTATCTGAAACGTTGACCAGGGACATGTATAAGCATTTGTCTGTTTGTCTGTCTGTTGTATATTTCGCCAAACCTAACCCAAACCAAAAAAAAACTATATATATATATATATATATATATATATATATATATATATATATATAATCGATCGTCGTTGTGTTAATTGATATACATGAAGTAATAATATCTAGTAACTCATTGGAATATTTTTCGCCAAACCTAACCCAAACCAAAAAAAAAAACAATATATATTGAATCGATCGTCGTTGTGTAAATTGATATACATGAAGTAATAATATCTAATAACTCATTGGAATATTTTTCGCCAAACCTAACCCAAACCAAAAAAAAAACAATAAATATATAATCGATCGTAGTTGTGTAAATTGATATACATGAAGTAATAATATCTAATAACTCATCGGAATATTTTTCGCCAAACCTAACCTAAACCAAAAAAAAAACAATATATATATAATCGTACGTCGTTGTGTAAATTGATATACATGAAGTAATAATATCTAATAACTCATTGGAATATTTTTCGCCAAACCTAACCCAAACCAAAAAAAAAACAATATATATATATAATCGATCGTCGTTGTGTAAATTGATATACATGAAGTATTAATATCTTATAACTCATTGGAATATTTTTCGCCAAACCTAACCCAAAACAAAAAAAAAACAATATATATTTAATCGATCGTCGTTGTGTAAATTGATATACATGAAGTAATAATATCTAATAACTCATTAGAATAGTTTTCGCCAAACCTAACCCAAACCAAAAAAAAAAACAATATATATATATAATCGATCGTCGTTGTGTAAATTGATATACATGAAGTAATAATATCTAATAACTCATTGGAATATTTTTCGCCAAACCTAACCCAAACCAAAAAAAAAACAATATATATATATAATCGATCGTCGTTGTGTAAATTGATATACATGAAGTAATAATATCTAATAACTCATTGGAATATTTTTCGCCAAACCTAACCCAAACCAAAAAAAAAACAATATATATATAATCGATCGTCGTTGTGTAAATTGATATACATGAAGTAATAATATCTAATAACTCATCGGAATATTTTTCGCCAAACCTAACCCAAACCAAAAAAAAACAATATATATATATAAATAATCGATTGTCGTTGTGTAAATTGATATATATATATATATATATATATATATATATATATATATATATATATATATATATATATATATAATCGATCGTCGTTGTGTAAATTGATATACATGAAGTAATAATATCTAATAACTCATTGGAATATTTTTCGCCAAGCCTAACCCAAACCAAAAAAAAAAACAATATATATATAATCGATCGTCGTTTTGTAAATTGATATACATGAAGTAATAATATCTAATAACTCATTGGCCGAGCAAAAGAAAAAGAACAGACACAAGAAACATCCACAACCGCACAAATCCTCAAAGTACTGGAGGCAATTAAAGACCAAAATCTCATTACCAAAACAACTCAAGCAGCCCTATTACTAATAACAGAGGAAATGCAGACAATAAAGGACCAACAAGCTGCACAACTCAGAACACTAGAGATCTCATGTAAAGCCCCAGCTAAATTGGTGGAAGCGGCAGAAGAACAGAACAGCATTAGTGAGCAGACCCGACAAACACTCCTATCCTTGACGGATGAAGTAAGAGAAATGAAAGAAATAGTAACAGAAATAACAACAACAACACCTACAATACAAATAGCAGACCCAATCCAGAAGCAAGAGATCCAAGTATCATCACCAAAAACATACGCAGAAGCAACAACACATAACAAAACAACAACTAAAACTCACTGCCTCTTAGTAGGAACCGATAACGGAATTGACACAAGTGAGGAAGTTATGGACAAAATTAGAGATATTTTGGATGCCAGGAAGTCTCGACTGCACATCTCAAAATTAAGGAAAGTCAAAGACCAAAGGGTGCTCCTAGGCTGTGACAATAAAGAGGACTTTGACCAAATAAAGGAGAAACTAGAGAAAGAAAATTTCAAGGTGGAAGTGAAACAGAACAAAAAACCACTAATAATAATCAGAAACATATTAGCAAGCAACACAGACCAGGAAATAATACAAGCATTAGAAGACCAAAATGAGGAACTGTTTCAACACATTGCACCAGAAGACCATAGAATAAAATTCAGGCATAGAAGGAAAGCGAGAAACCCAAAGGAGACCCACATAGTACTGGAGGTCTCACCACAGGTCTGGCAAGCGATGACCTCTGCAGGAAAAGTATATGTGGACATCCAGAGAGTACCAGTATTCGACCTTTCCCCACTGGTGCAGTGCTCAAGATGCTTAGCGTTCGGACACGGAAAGAAGTGGTGCACGGAGACTGTGGATCTGTGCAGTCACTGTTCCGGTCCTCACATGCGCAGTGAATGCCCCAGCCTACAGGCAGGTGAGGAGCCTTCGTGCAAAAACTGCCTGCCGGCCAAACACGCAAGAACAGACCACAACAGCTTCGACATGCACTGCCCAGTGCGGAAAAAATGGGACGCCCTCGCCCGCTCCAGTGTGGCATATAGTTAAGGCTACATACGAAACACAACACCGCATCAGACTTCTATCTGCAAGGTATAATGAATATACCTCGAGGCAATTTAATTACCCCGAATGCACAAGTCGGAACAGCATATAGAATTCTCCTCTGCAAAACCTGTAACAGGAAACATTAAGTTTTGCTGAACAGCGTCAATACAGCAGGCTCACAACCACCAAATATATTAACAGACAATAATGTAAGAAAATAATGTACTGAAAAAAAAAAAAAAAAAAAAAGATATAAAAAAACACAGTACTTACCTAGTAGTAGAAAATAATAATAGTAAGGAAATAGTATTAAATTATATTATAATTAATATAAGTATAATACTAAGAAAGTTAAAAGTATAAGTATAAATAAATACACTCAATAGTAGCCACACGAAAACATACTTCTAACCTGATTAAAATGTATAAACAACACTAGAATGTAAGGTAAAACTTTAAATAGCATAGTAAAGAACTAATATATAGGCATTATAACATAGAAATTAAAATGTAAATAATAGCTAAAAATAAGAAAAACTGTCAATAACTTAGTGTGAATTAAAGCAAAAATGTAATAACTGATAGAAACAAAAATTATAAAATATTAGAAATATTATAAAAATAAAATTGTAAAACTAAAATAGAAATAACCATGTAAAACCAATAGCCCAATTAATAGAAATAAGAAACAGTGTAAAATAAATGTAAGCAACAAAAATTCCCTTGGTCTTATAAAATTGTAAAAAAGGATTCTGACCACCATGTCAGAAGATTGTCGGCTTCAATAAAAAAAAAATAACTCATTGGAATATTTTTCGCCAAACCTAACCCAAACCAAAAAAAAACAATATATATATAATCGATCGTCGTCGTGTAAATTGATATACATGAAGTATTAATATCTTATAACTCATTGGAATATTTTTCGCCAAACCTAACCCAAAACAAAAAAAAACAATATATATTTAATCGATCATCGTTGTGTAAATTGATATACATGAAGTAATAATATCTAATAACTCATCGGAATATTTTTCGCCAAACCTAACCCAAACCAAAAAAAACACAATATATATATATAATCGATCGTCGTTGTGTAAATTGATATACATGAAGTAATAATATCTAATAACTCATTGGAATATTTTTCGCCAAACCTAACCCAAAACAAAAAAAAACAATATATATTTAATCGATCGTCGTTGTGTAAATTGATATACATGAAGTAATAATATCTAATAACTCATTGGAATATTTTTCGCCAAACCTAACCCAAACCAAAAAAAAAACAATATATATATAATCGATCGTCGTTGTGTAAATTGATATACATGAAGTAATAATATCTAATAACTCATTGGAATATTTTTCGCCAAACCTAACCCAAACCAAAAAAAAAAACAATATATATATATATAATCGATCGTCGTTGTGTAAATTGATATACATGAAGTAATAATATCTAATAACTCATTGGAATATTTTTCGCCAAACCTAACCCAAACCAAAAAAAAACAATATATATATAATCGATCGTCGTTGTGTAAATTGATATACATGAAGTAATAATATCTAATAACTCATTGGAATATTTTTCGCCAAACCTAACCCAAACCAAAAAAAAACAATATATATATATATAATCGATCGTCGTTGTGTAAATTGATATACATGAAGTAATAATATCTAATAACTCATTGGAATATTTTTCGCCAAACCTAACCCAAACCAAAAAAAAAACAAT